AAGGAGAACTAGTTACTCTGACCTGTGCTTGAACTCTAGATCTCTCGGTTTAGTGTTAGACGCTCTACCTGTTGAGCGACATCGATCTGAAGCAGTATATGGTAAATTCCTTGCTTAAAGTAATTCGTGAATAAGACATTAATTTCCCTTGAGCGAAATGGAACCCGGAACCTCCGGAGTACGAAGCGAACCCCTTAAATACTATTCCATCACCCTACTGTTGTTTACTATTCTAAATGGTGATATATAAAGGTTTCGTCATTTTCGTTTGTGCTGGTAAGCAAATTGTGGAACGCGTATTTGTTCTCCTTAACATATTGATGCGGAACTGCATCCGTGCCTGCTGAAAAAGGTCTCTTGTGCTTCTAGAAGCATGGCGACGGACCGATGACGTCGATAATTCTCTTAACAAGAAAAATAGCAACGATCTTTCTAAGTTTCTAGAAATGTTATTAAATTATTTGGAGATCAGGCCTATTTTTTCAGCAGAAAAAGTGGTAGAATGTCAGTAGTAATTTATGCATAAAGGTAAGATGGACGATTCATTTGCATATGTGTGTTTACTGCTTGCTACACACAAATGAACTCTGTGTAGAGGCGATTTCTCAAATTCTGAATCAAGGTTACGAATTGATTTCAATTATCTTGATACACCGCTTGATTCACTCATTGCCCTTCCAAGTCTGGTTGGGAAAAACGTAGGGTTGACGAAATTGCAAAATTTCTCGTATACTTAACCACCCAGCCCTTATACTACATATTAAACCATTGAATGTTTCGCCTATTTAAACTGTGACAGAGACGATGCTCACTGTTTAAGTGAATTCTTACAGAAACATTAACGTGAGCATCTCTCTATTCTACGAGAATCTATATCGTAGCCTTTTCCGATTGACTTCTAATGAAGGCCCCTTGAAGATCTTGCCATAAACTTTTGTTCTTCGTGATTCTTGTTCATTTTCGTACGTGATCGTACGAATTTCTTTCATGCTGCCAGTTGTCTAGAGAGCCGTTTGCTGTCTCTTGAAAGCTAGTGTAATGTTTTTCTGGTCTAGTGATAGTGGTTTCTTCTTTAAACAGGTTCCTCCCATTGTCAAACTGGCTTCTTGACTCAGGACTCAGTTACATCACAGAGTTCTGTTTCTGCTTTTGCGCATTAATTCATATATCTATCTTTTTTACTACTCCCAACATGCATGTGTTCATGCCGCGTTGCATAGTCTACGATTTATGAATAGCTTAGGACTCACATTTTGCATTCATGCCTAACTGCTGAAAGCATATACTACTATCGGTAACGTTTCGTTTCAAAAACTTGGGCAGTTTCTCGGAAAAGAACATTTTCAATCTTCCAAAATTGCTCCATGCGAGTTTTGCCCTATTGTAGATTTTGCACAGTCGTTTTTCCATTGAATATGATCTGTTCAAGATAGACGTCGTTTTATACGCCGCGTTATCGCGTACTTGTTAAACATGATTTGAGTCTTCTTTAGGTTCATTTTGACTTTGATGCTGGCGTCCTTCTACGCTTGCTTTTTTCTTTGGAGATATTCTTGGACTTTTAAGTCACAATGTTTTCGCAAGCCGCAGCTGACTTAAATATTGCCCATTTATCTTCAGCCGCTGATTTTCTGACCTGAATGCCTGGAAAACCTTTCTAGTGCTGCTATAATAACATAGGTGATTTTGCATTACCCACTCAGGTGCTGTTTTCGATTTTTAGCATGTTTTGTGTTTCCATATCAGCAGCTCAATTCAGTAAATCATCGCGATGAGGTTTCTCTGTTTCCTCGATTCCTTTGCTTCTAGAAATCCAATTCGTACCGGGTGTACACTGATTCCAAAGCTTTCTCAAAACTGATGAACTCCAGGCGAGAGGACGATTGTCTAGTTTATATGTTATTTCTTGTGGCCAGAAGAGGATCCGTAATACTAAATTAACTTCTTTATCCTGCTTGATCCCTTGCAGAGTTCAGTTTTCCTCGAAATATGTTCAGTACCTTCGCAAATATCTTGTAGATTCTTGGCAACAAGCTGACATGCTTCCAGTTCTGATGCATTTTGTCTCATTCTTTCGTCGAATGGATTCACTGATGCTGTTGTCCAATCGTCTTGTATATTCAGTTCTTTGAAACAGCGTAAAAACAGGTGTGCCAACCATTTGGACAGTGCTTCATCGCCTCAGTGCACTGGTTTCACAATAACGTCGTCTTCTCCAGGAGTCTTTCTCACCTTAAATATCTGGAATTTCGTCAGCTTTATTTCTCTCTTAAGGTTCCTATTTTTATTTTGGGATGTTTCAGTTATGTACATTTTTATGCTAGTCACTCGTTTCGCCAGACACGACTATAAAATTTTTATGACTACATTAATGTATTTAATTAATGTTTACGACTAAGGGATATATCCTTGCTGATATGACAGGAATAATTATATCATGGGTGAGTGGAACAGTAGTTAGGTTTTTCCATTGCTTAGTGAGGTAAGCTTTTAGGACATTAAGCGACTTACTGTAGAAGTGAAGTTGAATACTTTACCTTATTCATCCGTAATTTAATTCCATTGTACGTTATACATGTTTAACGTAATTAGTTTTTCAGGAATTTTCACCGATTCTTGAACTAGCACATGCGTACCAGTGCTATATGAATGAAACGAAAGCATTACGAGGGCAGATCGAGAAAAAAGACGGTGAGATACTGGAGCTAAAAAAAGCTGTTAGGGCGAAGGTATCGCTGTGAATTTGTCACAATATGCTTAAACATTTTCATAGATGGAAGAAATCTCTGAAATACAGCTCAGAAAGGAAATGATGGAGCGGAAAATCGAAAACACAGGCAAAGAAGGCGATGACAGAGTTATTCGTCTTCAACAGCTGATAGACGAGATTAATCAGAAATCGAAAAAGAATGAACAGTTAATCGAAGCGTCTCGACTGCTGTAATTTACCTAATGAGTTACTGTTTTACAGGGAAGTTCAGAAAACGTTGGACAGCTTTCAGCAAGAAATCGATGCGTTGGAGAATGAAAACGCCGATTTGAAGAACCGCTTGAATTTGGCAGCTAAAAAGGCGGTGCTTGGCAATATTTCGGCGGATGGATCACGTATATGACGCTGTTAAGTACAAATCTTTTTTTGTGTTAATAAAATTTGTTTCAGCGAAGCTATTGTCTATACAACCTTCATCCGGTAGTTCAGTGTCAACGGTTGAGTCACAGTTGGTTCGAGGTCTCCAAACCGAGGTACGTATTCACCAAGTGTTGCAGTGTGTCTTATATCTTACCATAAATGCGAAAATATGAGGCCCTATTTTTGTGCGATATCGTATAATGTACATTTTTGGCTTTGGACCTATTGTTCGAGAGTCATGTTTATCTTTCATGGTATAAATCGATGAAATGCCCAAACCCGCAGATATTCTCTTAGTCTTTGTGTTGGAAGTTTCGTAGTGGTTTACTACCTGTGATTACTAAAGGTTTTCCAGCTGAGCGTTAGGAGGAGTCGAGTGACCTGAAAGCGTACAAGATTATTTGAATAACGTTAAAAACATACATCCTGTTAAGTCATAATAAACTACTTATGTAGCACGCGCTTTCTATGTTGACATCATTTCCAGCCGTTTGTATAACGAAAAAGTATGTTTTCTGGTGTCAGCGGTATTCGCAGTTTTTCAACAGTTTTGCTATGACGTTGCGACGAATGCATCGCATGAG